TAGGTAGATAGGTAGATAGACAGAAACATGTGCTTGATGGTTGTTGAACCAACGAGGCTGCGGCCGGGCCAGTACAACACCTGGGCAACTCGTCGCATGCAGCCGGGAATTCCTGGACACATGTGGCTGGGTTTCGGCCATGCGCTGTCGCAAGGGTTTAGGGTTTATAAGCCTTAGAACCTAGTCAGCGACCGCCACGCTTTCAATGTTGCCAAAGTCAAGAGATAGACCAGCACCGACATCAACACAAGTGGTTTAAGATTGTGACAAGAAGTTAAATGTCATGTGAACAAGTGTCAAAGCGGATTTCGCGAGCAGCGGGGCGAGCCTCATCAGCATCAGCTGGATTTCCTTTCAGACTCCCTGTCCTGATCTCCCGACCATTGAACCCACAGAATTCGTTGCAGCTCGACCCAATGATTGGACGCATTTCGCGAGCAGCGGGACGAGCATCATCAGTATCAGGATTTCCTGTAAATTGCCGTAATTGAGATACAATCACATTATTCCTTTAGTCCAGACGGGGTTGTCGTCAACCGCTGCTGCACCTACTAGGAACAAGTCTATGCGCCCGCATGCCTATCTGCATCAATGGCATCACTACCCGCTTTATCATTATCATGACTATCATCATCCGTGCCACCAAGATGTTTCATCGTCACCATCCGTTAGCTTGAGTAGCCTCGCCGACCTTGTTTTGACTTCCCATGTCCGCCCCCCCCGGCCGGCACCATCCTCAATATCATCAGAGACACAAGTATCTTCATCATCGCCGTCACACCATGGAAGACTATCCGTGGGTCGAACCACTACTACAACCAGGAATGAATGTGTTACAAATAACGACTGTTGCCGTTCTGCCTACGACGCATATGGCATAGCAAATGTCATCCACGCAGGTAGTGCCGTCGGGCAACATAAATCAAGGCTGATGCATGAATACTGGACCTGCCGGGAAAGCGTGTCCATCCATATCCGGAACCTCAATTTTAAGACTAAGTATCAAGGATGACAGCACAAGCGTTTAAACTTGAAGCCCGAAACCAGGTGACTGAGCTAGCCGAGATGGAGAAGCGCACCGGCGAGAAGGGCAACGTGGAGAGCTGGGGGCAGCTGGCGCAGGAAACATAGGGTCTCAAAAAGTTTTGCCAAGTTTTCCGGGAGACGGATTGATGAGGGAGATGTGCATGTTTGTGCTGCTACTTCGAAGAGTCAACAGCAACACCTGAGACTCACTCATACCTGCAAAGCGTGAGGGAAAAACTCATATATGCTGGACACCAATAAAGCTAAAATGGGACAGAAGACAGCAAGCAGTGTCCGGGTCACCCGCAACAGGGTTTGTTAGCTGGGGAGGCAGGAAATGGAGATGCGCCGAAAACTTGCAACCTCTACATCAACCCCGACGCAAATATTCGGCAGCTGGTACTGGAGCTTGATTTTAGGAGCCGGAAGATGTTTTACACATCAACGTCAATTAATTTAGTTGAGAATCCCTTTCAATATTTTGTACTGTTATATTGGCAGTGAAAGACTAGTCTAAGATCATGCAGATGTGCTGTAGGCTGCACACAGACGCGTCGGAAAGGAATACGCAGTAAGAACCATGACTGAGAACTCAGCGTCTTGGTTCAATTTTTTCCTGTGTCAATCATCAATGTCAGATTCCTCAGACGCAGAAATGGAAAGTGGATATGGCGTTCTTGATGGCGGCTTTGTGCCAGTTGCGAGGGTTCATACTGCAGTCTCCAACCCTGAAGCCCAAAGTAGAGCGACGTCAACTGTGGAGATTCCTGCCAGGCCTTGGCGGGCCATGCACCTGACATGGGCCTGTCTCCCGATGACACCTGTCTGTGACCTCGGTTTGGTTCGAGTTTTTGGGGTTTCGTATTGTGGCCTACGGAGATCGTACTGCTCTGACTCAGTGACGTCTGAAACTTCGTGATCTGCTGCCAGGAATGGGATCAGATGCTGCAGGTTCTGCGAGCATTCTTCGTCAGATTAATCGAGGGCCCTCTCAGTGTCAATGACGAGGTCCAGAAGGCAGACAAACCTGCAGACGACACATTTAAGAAAGAGCCTTGCCTGAGTCGAAGTTGCCAGAGACTTGCTCGACGACATGAGGCCTCGAAGTGGCCGCAAGCATGCAGAGTCCCCGCAAGTTGCCTTCCGAGGAGAATGATTTGCGCGCCAAAATCCGAAATGAGTTGCTTCTGACTCATTGGATGAAGTTGCTGTCACATGGGTGCACTGAAGATGAGTCTGGCACCCAGCATCTTCCCAAGATTTCGCAAGCCATACAGTACTAGATGCTGATTTGCGCGCGGTAAAAATGCCCAGGTCCAACGAGCTTTTCAAGCGATGCCCGGAAACTTGGCACTCTCTTCGGTGCCATGCTTTGGTTCATGCTAGTGATGCGGGGCTTCCTTAGTACTTTCAGAAACAGATCTGGGCGAAGGAAGGCGAGAAAGTGAAGCTGGCGAGCAACCTCGTCCAGGAGTGGCATGCCAGGAACTCCGAAGAAGCCACGCGGGAGACCAAGGCAGACTTGTAAGACTTCTACCTAAATGGAGGTTTCCGAAAATAGGGGTACCTTATTATTTAGGGTGCTATATTAGGGTCCCCTATTTTTGGGAACCCCCAAATTTCTTCAAGCCGAATTCAAATCTCAGGTTTCTCAGGCTTCGAACCCTAAACCCCGCCAAAGTTCGAACCCTGACCTCTGAGATGAGAGTCACTGAGAAGGACCCTTCTCGGCTGTTAAGCTTTTTTTCTCATTGCTCAGAGCAATAGGAAGGCAGTAAAAATAAGTAGCGCAGCGCTCAGTTCACTTCAGGCCCCTGAGTCTCCATTGCAGTTCCTTCCCGGGGTTACCTTATATGGAGCCCTAAACGTAGAATTGGTTACGCATGGTTATAAACCAAAAAGAGCTGCAATGGAGACTTGGTAGTGCTGATCTCATGACGCGTTTTACCATTCACTGCTCCACCGCCACCACACGACCACCTCATCCCTGGATCATGCAATGAATCTTACAACGCACATTCCTGAGAGGCTGCGGCATTCCAGCAAGAGCGCCCGGATGGAGGTTGGAAGCACACCGGTGGAAAGCCCGTCTCTCAAATCACAGTGGCCCGGACTCAGCCAGGTTTCGTGTCTAGGGTTGTTGATTTCACTCTAGTTGCTCTTGTTTCTTAATGTGCTTGCGCTGATGAGTGCTCTGCGCCCGGGATAAGCGTTCTGAACTTTTCACAGAAAGCTCTCAGCAAGCTTGCTTCTGCGCAGCAGAAAGAGTCCAGTCAACATAGACATTCGCTGATTTCGCGTTGCAGGGATCGGGCGCTAATCTGCTGTGAATTGGCCGGTATACAGTGTTTTTAGGTACGGTTAGAAAGGGCTACAGCAAAGCTGAGACTCTTGAAGCCTTGATTGAACCTGTCGAGCTCGTATAGCCCCAAAGCTAAAGAAAAACAGAATCACCATCCACCCAAGTAATCAGCTCGTTGCCGGGGCCAGCCACCGAGCTACACTGGTCGTCCCATGCGTTGGGATGGAACTGGATTCTGGGGGGGGCTGCGGGGGGGGGGGGGGGGGCCTGCGAAAGCTATGTGTTCAGATCTAAGAGCAGCAACATGCGATGCGAACCAGAAGAAGCGGAAGCACTTGGACACAGAAGTCTCACCCACCTTGTTGGCAATTCCCGTCAGACGCCCCGTCAGACTTGTCGCTGTGCTTGAAGTTGTCATGCTTTCACCACCGGCAACAACGCCGACGGCACGGGCAACGGCTATG